TTTGCCACAAGTTCTGCTATGCTAGTGCTCCTCCTTGCCCTGGCATTGCCATGGAGGACTGGGACCCGAATCCCAGTATGGGCAAAGCAACAGAGTCCTGCCCCAATGCTAACAAAGAGATCCCTATAATATCCTTCTGACCAGTTCTACCCCTCTTTACTGTCTGAGTGCTAGGAGCCTCAGAAGCAGCTCCTGCCACTGACACTGCTGATTCAGTCACTTTCAAGGCCTGCTCCTGGCCTGCTGGGGCTAGGCTTTGCTGGTGGGGCCTGCACTGAATTGCGCTGCACTCCCACCCAGGTGCAACAAACCCTTCCTGTTGATCTTCTGAGTTGTTCCTGGTGCCTGTGAACTTAGAGGTCCAGAAACCCCCACTGCTACTGCTGCCAGTAATTCAGTAGCCCTGAGGTCTGCTCCTGCGTGCTGGGGCCTAGTCTGCACTAGACTGCACTCCTCTCTCAGCCTGATGCAACAGACCTTTCCTGTTGACCTTGTAAGTTGTCTTGGGCTGGAAATTTGTTTCACTCCATCTTTTTATGGGTTCTGCTACTCTAGAATTTGTTTAGAGTTATTTTTTAAAGGTATTTGTAGGGTTTTGGAGGAGAGCTCAGGTAAGTCCCTGCCTTTACTTCACCATCTACTTTATTATATGTTTAAAAGAAGTAGCAAATTGTACTTAATAGATTTGCAGTTTCGTGTGCATTCGTCTTTTTTTATTATACTGTTATAGAAATGCTTATTTTATCCCATAAATTAAAAATGAAATAAATTTTTAAAAAAGAATTCTGCTTTCAGAATTTGCCACTGCTTTCTTGCTTGCCCACTTTCATTTGAATGAGAAAATAGTAGAATTGTTTGCAAGAAAGAGAACTTTATGAATGAAATTTATGTATCAATTAAAAAAACTCAGTAGAGATTAAGAGGCTTAATTTCTTTGTAATTCTTAAAGTGATAAAGTGTTTTGAGCCTACAATTTGTGTATAAAAGATTAGTGTCATAGAACTACCTGATTAAATGTCATTTTTAGAAAGAAAACTCCTGTATTTGAAAAAATACCATCAACCTTTTCTGTCACCTTATTCATCTGAAACGTTAATTTCATTCAATATGTTTATGAAATATTCAGGTTTTATTTATTAAAATATTTAACCATAAAGTAATCAAAACTTTATTCCAGGGGATTGAAAGGCTCACATTGTAAATGGTATTTCATTTCAGTGATTTACTCAACAATCAAGCTTTAAGTATCTACTTTGCTCATTGCAATATGCTGGTTGGTGGATATTGACATTCTAGATATTAACCTTTGACACAATTCGAGTGTCCTGTAGGAAGAGAGCAAAATCTTTATTGCTTTAATTCATATTATAAGTCAGGAGGTATACATAATAACAGCTACACAGTGAGTAATGTAGGAATACTTCAGAGGGAGCAACCCATCTATGGCTTAATTATAATTAGAATTGCTGTGTCTAAAAAGTGAGGAGCTCCTGTCTTAGTTTGCCTAGGCTGATCCTTCAGGATCAGGTATGCAGTTCTTCCTGGGTTCATCAGAACAGGACGTTAGTAGATATTAAAGATATATTGATACAACATAAATTTAAATTTCATTATGGTTTTTGATGCATGAATGATGTAACACCACATGTGTGATTCAAGTGTGAAGTTACTTTGCCTTATTATGATAGAACTCTTACTTATCTGAGTTTCAAATCCAGTAAATGGTTAAAAAAAGAAAAACCCTTATGTGCAACAGTCTTTAATCTTATGTGAATGTTAAGTCTTTAGTCATTTATATCACTATTTTTATATTCAAATGCAAAATTTAAATTTAAATCCCAACCTTAAATTTGTGAAATTTATACTATAAAATATAAAATTATAAACTATTTTAAAAATTGGTTCAAGAAATCATATAATCTTTTATTTGGAAAATCCTTTGGCATTTTTGTGAGAAAACAACTTTATTGAAGTCCCATCTGGTAGACCAGTTTTTTAGAAATGGAATTTTTGCTCTTACTGAAGAAAAACCATAATGAGATTCCCGGGTACAGAATATATCACAAAGTTTTGGATCACAATAGCTATCTCCTGAGTTACTGCTACTTCAGATTCTTCATTTCAGGGAAATCTATTTCTCATGTCTTTTCCAGCCATTTAAGCCAAGAAAATTCCAAGCAACCAGATTTTTCTTGGCCCCTTATGATTCCTTGGAACATATGGCTAGACCACTTAGAATGAATCTAATCCCTGTTATAGTTTAGAAAGCACAAAACCACTTCATATGGGCTGTTTGGATTATTTCACTAAATAACAAGAATTGTATACTTGTATACTACTTGTATACTCTCAGAATCTAAACTGCCAATTAGTTTTCAATGCCCTCCTTGAAAAATGACATATTAGAGCTTTCCATCATAACGAATTTTTGATCCTGATGCAGAGTCAGTGTTTAGACTGTTTAATACTTGATGATTTGAGGAAGTCGAAACAGAGACCCTTAGGGAATTAGATACATTTATATTTGTAGAATTATGGAATGTTAGAAGTTTTATACAGAACATTGAGACCAACCCCCTTGTTTTGCTTTTGAGGAAACAGAAACCTAAAAGGATATTGGGTCTCCTGGCAGAACCTGATTTCAAATCCAAATTTCCTGACTTCAGGTCCATTGCTTATTTGGCTCCTTTATGCTATCAGTGTAGTTTTTCAACAGACAAATGAATTATACCTTAGTTGAGGGACAGGATCATTCTTTCTGAATCTGCTTATTTAATAAAGGGGCATGACTGAATTAAAAGGAGTTCAGTACTATAGTAATTATCAGTTGGCATTCACAATATGGTATGTTAGGAAAACAACAGTGAACTATGAGTCAAGATCTGGATTCTAAGAGTCTTGGGTATACTACTAACTATGGGGTTTTATATAAATCCTTCATTTCTCCAGGATTCCATTCCTCATTTATAAAATGAGGGGGTTGGAGTAGATGATACGTAGCCTTTGCCAACTCTAAAATTCTCTAATTTTAACTTTTTTTTCCTGATTTTAACTTTTAAAAATTTTAATTTAATCTTAAAATTTTCAGCTTCTGAAGGTGCACATTAAAAAGTTTATCTTTGCCTTTAATATGGATTTCTTTTAATCTTTTTAAAGTTTACCAAAGTAAAAAAAATTTTAGCATAGTGTCATGTCTTGAGCTAAATTGAATTCAGTTATGCAAGGAAATACAGACACAATATAGAAAGGAAAAGAACATGTAGCCTAGATATGAAGAAAATTTTTTTAATCAATGAACTCTCAGCATGAGTTAGCAGTAGGAACACTTGCCTAGGACTGTGGCTTTTGGACCTAACTACTATAAACTAGGTTTGCAAATATGCACATACACATACATATACAGGGAGGGAGTATGTGTGTGCATGCATGTGTGTGTGTGGGGGGGGATGCTTTGGATAAGTCATTGCACTCCTTTAAGCTTCAATTTTCTCTATGAAAGAAGCAGCATGATATGATGGGGAAAACTAGATTTGGGTATGTGGAATCTGATTTTATCCCAGCTATGCTATTTGTAACCTTGGAAAACAAATATTTATCAAAAAATATTTATTAAGCACTTCCTATATTCCAGCCACTATGCTAGGTGCTATGTATGAATATATAAGTACAAAGAATGAAACAATCATAAATACATAAGTATAGCTTATATAATATATATATATGTATATATGTATGTGTATACATACACACAAAAAATACGAAATAGTTAAATACTAGGAATTTTTGGAAGGAAGGCAGTAGCGTTTGGTTGAATCAGGAAGGGCTTTATGGTGCTTCCACTGTGCATCTAAAAGACAGAAAGGAACTACAGATAGTCCTTACTTCACACAAATTCAACTTTATGTAGAGAAATTCTCATCCCCCCCCCAAAAAAATTTTGCTGTATTGTACTGTGTGCTCTCGCTTTCTCTCTCCCTCTTGCTCGCTTTCTCTCCATAGTTCTACAATTTATTTTGTAGCTCATTGTTGATTTCTTGACACACATAGGATCTTTTCATATTTATATAATAGAGCCAAAAGCTTCAGAAGACTTATTCTAGAGTATTTAATAAGAATATGATGCACAATCTTTTCATGAATCTTTTCTTAAATATTACATATTAAAAAGTAATCTTGAGGCATGAAAAAAAAGGTGTGGTAATATTCCTTAACAGTTAAAATTTTTGTAGATCATTTTTCAAACAGAACAAATATTTATATCTAATCATGTAAATTCAACTTTTCTTTAGAAGTGTATCTTTTTATTGACAAAGATAATCTTCACCAAAAGTTGCGTGTATATAAAATTTCTGTAAATCTATTTCTTGCATGTTTCCTTGGATCCCTAATGTCCTTGTAGTGATTATTCTTTTGCCCTGTACAGATTCTCATTCTTCCATGTCTTCTTATGACATATGATTTTTGTCTGTGTCTTTCCATAAATTCTCCATTGAGTATGTGACCAGTAGGCTAGGGCACTTTTTCTTAAATATTTTTAACATTTGATGGGTAATCGCTGAAACACCTCCTTTTCCTTGGTAATATCTTTTGCAGTAACTCTAAACGCAAGCCATTTTTCATAATCTGCAGTGTACCCACCAAGTATCTCTCCATTTTCCTTTGGATTATCTGTAATTTTGATTCTGTAGATAACTGTTGGTGTTCCTTGACTTACAACAACATTATAAATTAAATCATTTTCACTGTACTAGAAAACTAAGTTTAAAGAATCTTAGAGGTGTTTTCCTTAGCATTGTGAAGAATCCTATTGTGATATGAATTAATACCCTCATAATTTATATACTGGTTTGTCTTTTCACACACAAAAAATAGAGGTTTGAGTATGGAGGGGTTTTTGTTTGTTTTTAAAATACTGGTAGTTTTTAAACTGAGGCCAACTTATGGCAAAAACTTGATTAAACTAGGAAAAGTAAGCTGTTTGTTTTATGATTCTTTTGCAGGAAGTAAAGCCTGATGAAGTAACTAAATCTGCTCTTGACGATGATATCAGCTTTGAAAAAATCTGCAAAAAGGTGAATTTGCATTATGAAGTCTTTCATTTCATACAGTGTTCTTTGTTCATGTGATTTACATGTTTGTTGTAAATTTTTTTTTAAAACAAGTGACCAAGAAACTAGTACATTTGTCATTTTTTTTCCCCTTTTGAGGTTTAAATATTCAATGAAAAACAGATTTTAAAGGTAATGTAGGCTTTTTGGACTGTAACCACAGCATAGCTCTAACATTCTTAAAAGCCAATTATACTTTATATAACATTAAACATACAAAGTAAATATGAGTTCATTTATGAAAAATCTCCTATACAGATCAGACAGATGTGATTGATTATTGATTAAGCAAATGGAATGTAACCAATTAAATTTGCATTAGTATAGAGAAAGGAAATACCTCTTCTCTTTCCCCTTTTTCTCTCCTACCTTTTTGTCATATTCATTGTTCACATCATTCTATACATAAAGAGTGTGAAAAGGAAAGTGCCTAATTCCCTATGGGAGACCTGAGTGTTTTAAATAAAGATAGTTTTTAAACTGAAGCATACTTAGGCAAAAACTTCATTCATCTAGGAAAACTAAATTGTTTGTTTCATGATTCTTTGACAGAATGTAAAATCTGATGAAGTAACTAAAACTGTTTTTGACAATTGTCCCCCTATGGAAAAACAGTTCTGCCTCTAAGTAGCTATGTGACTTTGAGCAAATCACTTTCATCCCAGACCTCAGTTTCCTCACTTTGCCAATTTACTTTCACTCTTTTTTTTTTTAATTTTTAGGCAATTGGTGTTAAGTGACTTGTCCAGGGTCACACAGCTAGTAAGTGTCAAGTGTTTGGTCTGAGGTTGGATTTGAACTCAGGTCCTCCTGACTTCAGGGCCTGTGCTCTATCCACTGCACCACCTCGCTGCCCCAATTTCACTCATTTTATAGAAATTGTTCCAGGCAGTCAGCACCAAAATGCTACTTGGCAGGTCACAGTGCAGTTATCAAAATTCTTTTTGAGGTAGGAATGATTGGGTTATTTTATTACTGAATTCATTATTTGGTTAGATGGTGGTAGGGATGGGAATCAGCTGTGTGGAAGTGAATTCCCTCTTGCCACTACTAATAGTGCAACTTCAGTTCTGGGCCTTAAAATATAGTATAGGTTTTTGTTTTTCCCCTGAAGTAGGTACTTCTGAGAAACTTGAACTGTTTTTTATATTTCCACCACAAAAAAAAATGTTAGGCTACTATTAGTCATGGAATAATGAGGGTTTTGAGGTCTTCCAAAATTAGTGGGCTCCTCTAAAACAAAGGTCCCATAAGTATATAAAATAGGAGGCCAGAGGTCTATTTACATGTACTGTAATACCTTATTCATGCTGAACTAAGAAATGAGCTGTACTACGTAGCTTAGTTTTTTCAGATAACTTAACCAAAGCTTTCTATCTTAATCAAAAAAATCATTTTTACATTTTATTTTAATTATTTTAGATGTAAGTTTTTATAAAATATATACATCCCTGTAAGGATTGCTCATGGTCATTATTGTGAACATGATTTCACTGTGCTTTGCTGTAGAACACTTATGTTCCTAGGTGCTATTGAATTCTGTAAGATGGTTGATTCCTTACTGAGTTATCCCCAGACCCCATACTTTTTTAATTCTATTTTTATCCTCTTAGTTTTACCTCTCTGTTGCTTGAAGACTAGCTGTTGTCATTTCTTGTCCCTGTCTCTACAGCAACCTCTTCACTCTCATAATTCTAGTCTGATTTGTTGCTTCCCTTCTGCTTGTGGCCTGGAAAAATCAGATGACCAAACTTGTTAGAACTGTACCTGAATTAAGAGTAAATAGGCACTGGGAAAAAGATTGAAGGAATTTTCTTTAAGTAAAACAGATGAAAAAGACAGCATGATTTAGTGGATAGAAAACCTGGGTATAAGCAGTAGATCTGAGCATCTCTTGAATCTGTAACTGGCAAGACACTTAACCTCTTATTGGCCCCCGGCAACACTGAGACTATACATCTCAGAAATGTTGCTAATCTTTATTCCAACTCAATCCTTTTCCTTCTTGACCTTTCTGCAACAGTGTTGATCTTTTTCTCTTTACTACTGTCTGTTTTGTAGGTTTTTATGGCACTGCTCTATCCTGATTCTCCTCCCACCTATTTGATTGTTTCTTTTCTGTCTCCTGGATTTTCAGAAATCTTGGAGGTCCCCCAAGGCTTTGTCTTAGGCCCTCTTCTAATTTCCCTTTTATACTATTTTAATTTGTTATCTCATCAGCTCCAGGTTTGCAGTGATTTTTTCCATGGCAATGAGTATGAGATCTATTTGTTGAGTCCTAACCTCTCTGCTGACCTTCATTCTCACAGCTCTTCAGTCATATCCCTAATCAATATTAAACTCAACATGTACAATTCATTATCTTCCTCCCTGCCCCAAACATTCTCCTTTTTCTAATTTCCCTTTTATTATTGAGGACACCACCACCTTCCCAGGTTTGAAACTTAGGTGTTATCCTGGACTCTGTCTTTCCTCTAACTCTCCACCCCATTATCATATTAGTTGTCATGTCCTGTCCTGTAGGCCTTTATCACTTGACTGCTGGACTACTGCAGTAGTCTCCTGGTTGGGCTCCTTGTCTCAAGTCTCTTCCCACTTCAATCCATCCTCCACTTCTTAAAGCATATATCTGACTATATCATCCCCCCATTCAGTAAAGTCCAGCGGCTTTCTAATTCCTCAAGGAAAAAATATAAAATTGACTTTTGGCTTTTAAAACCTTCCACAAGTTTCCTCCTCCTTATCTTTTCAGATTTCTTATACCGTATTCCCCTTCATTAATGATATGATCCAGTGACACTAGCTTATTTGCTATTCCTCACACATGACACTCCATCTCCCAGTTCCTAGGTTTTCGCTATCTATTTCCCTATGTCTGGAACACTTTCCCTTCTCATTCCTGTCTCCTACCCTGCCTGGTTTCCTTCAAATCTTCCTCAAAAAGACTTTCCCAGTCCTTTTTAATCTTAGTGCCATCCCTTTGAGACTGTGTCCAATTTATCCTCTGTATATCTTGTTTGTGCATAGCTGTTTTCATGTTGTCTCTTGCATGAGCTCCTTGAGCTCAGGGACTATTTTTGTCTTATTTTTTCCCTTTCTTTATATTCCTGGTACATAGTAGTCAATTAATGTTAGTTAATTTGACTTTGATCTGCACTAGTAGAATTTCCTTACCAGAAACTCTCTAGCTCTTTAAATCACAGATTTGGAATGCCTTTTTCCCTCCATCCCACCTTACCCCCACCTTCCCAAAGAAAGTTCAAGAATTTTGTACAAGAACTTTATGGAAATCTGGCTGTTCACAAACTTTTTTTTTCTTGATTCCAAATTTTATATTATGAATGGTTAAGTTTGAATATAGTGATCTATGAATGAGATATGTATTGCTCTATTTTCTATATATCTTAAACCAGGGTCCAGCTTGAGTTATTTTCAAGTTAAATTTGAAATGTTGCTACTCTTAAACTTGTCATTTCTTAATTTTTATTTTTATTGATTCTCATTAGATTTAACACAGATTTATGTAGGTCACAAAGTATAAAAAGAATCCCTAAACATAGAGATAAAGAATTTCTTTTCAATTCTCAATGAATTGTAACAATTGGAGAGCAATCTGGAATTATACCCAAAGAGTTATTAAACTGCCTGTACCCATTGACCCAGCAATACCACTGCTGCATCTGTTTGCAAAGATGATTCGGGAGAAAAGAAAAGAACCTATATGTTCTAAAATATTTATAGTAGCTCTCTTTGTGATGGCAAAGAACTGGAAATTGTGTGGATACTCATCAGTTAGGGAATGGGTAAACAAGTTGTGATATATGGTTGTGATGGAATACTGTTGTGCTGTTAGAAATGATGAGTGGGTTGATTTTAGAAAAACATAGAAAGACTTGCATGAAATAATGAAGAGTGAAATGAGCAGAACCAAGAGAACATTGTATACAGTTAAAGCAATATTGTTCTAAGAACACCTTTGAGTGACTAAGTCATTTTGACTATCATAATACCCAAATTAACTACAAAAGACATATGAAGGAGGGTGGTATTTGCCTCCAGATAGATAGAAGTATGGATAGAATAGTTTTACATTTGTGTGTGTGTGTGTGTGTGTGTGTGTGTGTGTGTCTAATGATAGCCATCTCTAGGGTGGAGGAAGGGCAAAAAAGGGGGAAAACATTACATGCTAACTTTATTATATATTTAAAGGGAATAGCAAATTGTGCATAATAGATTTGCAGTTCCATGTACAATCATATTTTTTTTCTATTCTTCTGTATTATGGAAAAGTTTCTTCTGTTTTGTAAATTCAGAAAAAAGTAAATTTTGAAGCTTTTCTTTAAATAACCGTAAAGGTTATATGTATTCCATTACTACCATTTCTCACTTCCATTAATCTTGAGATACCATTTATCCTAAAGTGAATAAAACATCCATATAATAGCCATTTTATGATATTAATTCCACTGGCTTATGATTATATTTTAATATATAGATTTGCAGAGATTGAGATATATAATATTCATTCAAATTTAAAAGTAGATTGTTTCTTTTTAAGCACTTTAAGTAGGACCTGATTATGCTAAAGAAAAAGATGAATTTATTTACATTCCACATTGTAAAATTCTCCCACTCGGTTCTTTCACTCTCCACCCCTGCCAAACACCCCACAAGTTATCTTAAATTTAACATTATTCTCAAATTGACATGGTGATTTTGAAGGATTTAAAACCCACCTAGTACAGAGTAGGGAATAATTATTAATATGTGACTGGGGAGCTGAAAGATATATTTGCTTAAGGTATGGTTAGTGGGTTGAATGTGAGATATAAACCATCTGACCCAATGGGAAAGCAGTAATTGAGGAAGGTCCTTGCTTAGACCCAAACACCCATATGCTATATAACGTGGAATAAAAAAATACACTTCTGAAGGTTCTAGATCCTAAAAGGTAGCTCTGGCCA